GGGGCGGGACCAGCGTTCGGGGCGTGTCCTTGGGCGGGGCCAGCGAGGGCGGGGCCACGGTGGGGCGGGGCGGGGACGAACCGGGGAAGTGCCCAGGACTCTGCAGCGGGCCGGGCGCCCAGGTCGGCGGCGACGGGGGCGGAAGGTCCGGCTGCGCGGGCCGGCGGCCGGGGACCGGGAAGGCCGCGAGGCCCGGCGGGATCGAGGTTCGGAGTTTGCGGGTCCGAGGCCCGGCCAGAGGTAAGCGGAGCCTCCTCGCCCGCCAGGGCGCCGCCTGAGGGCCGGGCACCCGGACTTCAACTTCTCAATTTTCTCAAAGATTAGGAAACACTTTGATGTTCCCGGAGTCTCGCACCTAGAAAGTGCAGCCGCAGATGGGGTTGAAGCCCAACTTCCTGTGCCCGCCTCTTCCTATCAGGACTGCACATCTAATGAGAGTTGGGCTTCGGACAGGCGTACAGAAGGCGCTCGATACATGCTCTCTTTGTGAATGAGTACAAGCAATCCGTCGTCCAAAGAGAGGGAGGTCCTGACCCTCAAACTGGGGACGCCAGAGATTCAGACATTTATTGAGCTTTTACTATGTGCTCCGATGGGTCAGCATGTGGCTTCATTTTGCAGATACCGAATCAGAAGCTCAGAGAGGCGAAGTGACCTCCCCAAGGCCGCACGGCTCGTAAGTGGCCGTTACCGGATTGGAAACTTGCGGTGTCCGGTTCCAAGCAGGTGCCAAGTGAAGTTCCGGAAAACAAGAGAAGAGGGGGAAAGTCACCAGGTAAGAAAAGAGCGCAGGGACGGGCCTCTTCTGCCCCCTCCTCTTCCCTTCTTTTCTTCTGGGGTCTCCCCCTCCCCCTCCTGCCTGGTCAGGCCATTGAGAAACATCTGTGTAAAGAATTACAAAAACAAACAAACAAAAAAGCCCAGTGTGGTTTTCTGGACTTCGCTTCTCGCGAGGGCAAAAACAAAGCATGCTCGTGTATATAACACGTGGGAGGGCCCAGGACCTGTTTTTGTTTTGTTTTGTTTTCTTTCCAGTTTGATTTCCTTGGGAGGAAATAAAGCTGGCTTTGCCCTGGTGTCGAGGTAAAAGGCAGATGCTAGGACCCAGCTCAGCTCGGCCGCTGACAGGCTGTGTGATTTTGAGCAACGCGCTTCCCTCTGGGCCTTGATTTCCCCATCCCAGGAGCTGTGTGGGCTTTGGGACCTCCTTGCCACGTGACTTTGGGCAGGTTAGGGAACTCCTCGGAGCCCAGCTCCCTCCTCTGTGCAAGGGGCGGGGACGGTGACCTCTCCACCGCTGTCCTGAGGGCTGGATGAGAGAGGTGAGGCACAGCGGCTGGGGAAACAGACCTGGCTCTGTGCCCAGGTTTGCTCATCCGTAGAATGGAAATAATAACAGTGCCTTCTCTTGGCCAGTTCTGGGAATTCAGTGAGGTCATCTGTGATAAGTGCTTAGCTCACTGCGGGACCCGCAACCGCACTGCTTCTCCGTCCTCAAATCCGTGGCCCAAAGGCCAAGTGCACCCCCACGAGTATGTTTTCGTTGTTTTGAGGGCTTGCCAAGCCGCCACCCCCGCTGCCCACTTCCCATATTGTTTCACCCACCTGGTCCCTGGAGCTAAGATCCCCTTGGAGTCCCAGGATTCCTCCTTGCAGCCCTGAGGGTCCCGGCTCAGGCTAGGGGGTGGGTGTAGGTGGGAGAGGCCTGCGTCTCCGTGGAGACACTACCTGGGGGCTTAGGAAGAAGGGCGTAACTAACCTGCCCGCCCGGTGAGTTGGGTCCCTCCAGAGAGCCTCCATCCAGGGGGTGGGTTTCTACATTTGGCTTTCCTTTGGCGGGGGCAGGACGGAGGGCAGCTCCTCAGCTGAAAAAGTTTTCAGTCCCCTCCTGCTGGGGCCTGGGCTCTTTGGTGACACTGTCCCTCGTTCTCACCTCACCCTGCAGGCCACTGGAGCTAGCAGCTGTTTGGAAGCGAAACGCTGCGGAAGGGGAAGGGGAGAGCGCGGGTCAGGCTCCGTGGGGGCCGATGACCGGCAGACAGAAGGATCTGCACTGGGTGCTGAGTTTGTTCCTTGTGCTGCGGATGGTGGAGACGGTGTCCGGGGCCAGGGGCCCATTTACAGGGACCCACATGAGCTCCCCGTTTTCGGCCTCAGATGTGAAGCAGACCCCCACGGTAGACGTGTATATCCAGGTAGGAAGCTGGCATCAGGCGGGAGTATATTCACCCAATCAACGAATATTTGTTGCGTCTCTGCTATGTGGCAGGTACCCAGCTGAACCCTGGGATATACCAGGGAATGATAAAGACAAAACTCCCTGCCCTCATGGAGTGAACAGTCTTCTGGGAGGACAGATCAAGGAGTAAAACATGTAAATTTCAGGTGGTAAGACGTTAGCGGGAGCTGTGATGAGGAGGGTGTATTTTCAATGAGTTCCGAATGGGTGGTCACAGGTGGCTTCTGTGAGACACTGACCTCTGAGCCAAGCCCCGAATGGAAAAAGGAAGTCACTTATATAGACATCTGGGGAAGAAAGAGCATTCCAGACAGAGAGGACAGCAAGTGCAAAGGCCCTGGGGCAGCAGCAAGCCTGGCATGTTCCTCGAGCAGTGAGGAGGCCAGAGTGGCTGGTACAGGACGAGCGAGGGGGAGAATGTTAAGAGATGAGGATGGAGAGGTAGCCGTGGCCAGGTTATAAAAGGCCTTACAGGCTGAGGCTAGGAGGTGATATTTGTTTACAATAGTTGGGAGTCCGTGGAGAGTTGTAAGCCGAGTGTTGTCAGAATCTGATTTATTTCTTCAAAAGAGCTCTCTGGCTTCTCTGGGGAGAGTGGATTGAGAGGAGTGAGGGTGGCAGTGAGAGGAGAACAGCCAGGAGAATCTGGCATAAACGTTGGGGGCACACTGCGTGGGATCTGTTAACAGGTGAGGTGATGGGAAAGAGAATCTCCGGGGGGGGGGGGGGAGGCAGTGGTGCTGTTGGCTTCGGATGTGGAGGAGGCACGGATGTCTCAGTGAGAGGCAGGAAGTCCTTCTCCAAGACAGGGAGGGTGGGGGCCATTGAGACAGGCTGCGGGAACTTGCATCATGCCATTCTGATGTCTGCGAGCAGGGAAGATCTGATGATCCCAAGTGAAAGACTGAGAGCGGACTGGTCACCGTGACCCTGAGTCCCCGCCATTCCCCCTTGGGGAGAATGGAATTACAGACTCCTTCCTCTTGCGGAAGGGTGGTGGCCTTACGCCAGTTTTGTAGGAGCACGAAATGCGTGCCCACCCTCAGGCAGGTGAGCAGGTAGTATACCCCACAGATGGGAAAGTGGTTTGTAGTTGAATGGCTATAAAATTCACCGCGACCTCGGGAGAAGCATGCTCCTCGAGGCAGGAAAACCAGAGAATAACTTGTGGCCCCAGCCTTGGACAATCTCTGAGTTATTGAGCACTTAGGCCAGCACACAGAGACACATCCCTTAAAATTCTCCCCAACTCCCCCCCCCATTTAGGGACATCTCTGCCATAGATGAGGGGTGCTGAGGTCTGGGAGGAGGAAGCCAGAGGCCAGGAGGGGCCAAATACTCCCTGGGTGTCATGGTGACTCAGGGGAGAATGGGGAGGGCCAGAAAAGTCCACCCCAGACTCAGAGCAGTGCCACCGTGGTGCCACCCAGGGCAGAGAGCTGGGGGCCCAGGCTGCTGCTGGAGGAGGCTTTAGGGAGGCATGACTTCCTTGGGATGGGGGCAGGCCTGTAGAGAATGTGATTCTGGGGCTGATGTGGGGACCATGCTTGCGCTCTGATGTCAGGGGAAATGAAGACAGGCGGGGCTGGGCCTGTCTCCTGGCTGACCCTGAGGGCAAGGAGGCTGAGGGGAGAGAAGTGCGCGGGCAGGAAGGGAGGCCTACTACAGACTGTGATTCCCAAGGAGCTTCAACTAGTCACTTTGGAAAACTGGGCTCCGCCCTTGAACCAATCACTTTTGCCTCTCTGTACTCTGTTTTCTCATTATCAAATGGAGAACAATTGTACCTTAACCTCCCAGGTCTGTGTCAGAAGACCGAGATGTGATGGTGCCAGCACAGCGTGTGGCAAAACAGTTGCTGAGGACCTACTGTGTGCTGGGCACTGTGCAAGACTTTGGTGGCAGTGAGGTGGGCACTTAACAGTGGGTGAGCCTACGAATGTGGCTGGGGACTTCGAACACACATAGGTGCTTGGGGGGCACCTGGGAGAATTTATAACTGGGATCGCCCTAGGCTGAGTGGTCAGTACCCTGGAGGAGGAAGCATCAGGAACAAATTGGAGGATGAATGTGGATGAGTAGCGGAGGAAGGCGTGGTGTGGCCCACAGGGGAGGACATCGCATGATGGAATGCAACAGGTGCCTCGCCTGAGAGCCAGCCAGCAGGGTGGGGCCGTGGCAGAGGGGCTCAGGGCCGATCTCCTCCCCAGTCAAAGTTTGGTGGGGTTGGCGAGGAGACTGGAGGGGAGTGGAGGCGCGTTAAACTTCGTGGTTTCTCTTTAAGTGATTGCTGTCCGAGCGCCTGGGTGGTAAAGCGCAGTGGTTAAGCGTCCGACCAGCCGAGTCGATCTCGCGTCGTGAAGTTCGAGCCCCTTGTCGGGCTCTGGGCTGATGGCTCAGAGCCTGGAGCCTGTTCCCATTCTGCAGCTGTCTCCTCTCTCTCTGCCCTCACGTTCATGCTCTGTCTCTCTCTGTCCCAAAAATAAATAAATGTTAAAAAAAAAAAAAAAAAATTTAAGTACGATTTTAACGCCGATGCGTGCCGTCTTTTCACTGTGTAATGTTTGTGCCGCGCACCTTAATGTCCCTCCCCATCTCCCCCTCCCCCAACCTCCCCCTCCCGTCTGCTTTCTGTCTCTCCCAATTGGACTGGTCCCACGCCTCAGAGTGATAAACAGAGCTGAAGAAGCGTTTGTCTTTTAGGTGACTAGCTTCTATTGCGCCAGCACAGTGCCGTCCTTAAGGTCTATGCGGCCCGTCGTGCGTGTGGTGGCTGGCGGCATTTCCCACTCCTTCTGGCAGAGTCCTGGGCCACCGCAGCATGGATATGCCACACCTCCTCGTCATTCATCCCTCGGGACCCTGGGGTGCAGCTTCTACACCGCTAGGCTGGGTTTTGTGAATAGTGCGAGGAGGCATTAAGGTGTGCTGATCTCTCTCTGAGACCTGGGTTTCTGTTCTTTGACTATGCAGGAGGCGGGGTTACCGATCTGGTTTTGTCCCAGTTTTATTGAGATAGAGCGGACATCCGGCACTCCTGCCATGCCGTTAGAAGAAGCGTCGGCATCACCCCGGTTATGTGTAGCGAGGACAGAGCTTAGTTAACATCTCTTGTCTCCTTATAGATGAAAGAAAGAAAAAAAAAAAATATATATATATATATATATGTATATATACAAAGAGGCAATATCCATCATACAGAGACTTCCTTCGAAAACTCTGGCAGTTTGAAGGAATTTTACGTGACCCGTTCCACTTAGAAGGGCACTTGGCAAATGTCGGGGACTTGCAATTTAGCGATTCCTACCCAGCAGCTGGCCTGGACAGGACTTAGTGAAAATGGTGTGGATCCCATTTACTTCCACTGCTGGTGGGAGTGTGTATAATAAAGTAGGAATTGAGGCGAGGATTTTAAGCTGCCAAGCCATGGAGCGTTTGCGTTTTGTCTCTGCAAGAGACGCGGGCAGAACGCCCCTATCATGGGCATTACTGCAGTTCTTTGCTGGGCTGCTCTTGGCTTCTAGTTGCCAGCATCTTTTTCTGGAACTGCCCGTAAGCATGGTGGGAAGAGCTGGGGAGCCAGCTAGCGACCGGTGGGAGTCGGTGTCTAAATACCCCAGCTCCCTTGTGGGCGGGATTACTAGTCCGAGGTGGGCGTGGTCCCAGCGGGATTACTAGTCCGAGGTGGGCGTGGTCCCAGCCCAGGCTCACTGGTAGCTTTCTTTTCCTTCCCCACCGCCTCATTTTGGTAGTTGTATTCCATACAGAACCCAAATACTTTTTTTTTTTTTCATAAAAAAAATTTTTTTCTTCCAAATACTCATTTATAAATCCTTGTGTCCCGGTTGCTTCTGGAGGAACCCAGACTATGATACACTCTGACTCAGCCCTTTTACTTCTAGAATTCTCTCTTTCAAAATCTTTTCACATGCACTCAGAGAGTCACATGCAAGGAAGTTTATTGTTGGCAATATTGAAAAATCAGACACACCCATAGGCCTGCCAGTAGGGAAATGTTACCTCCCCTGTGTATCCTTCAGAGTATAAAATACTCCTCCGTTGATGTTAAAAACAGATCGGCAGGGAGAGGCACCTAGGTGGTGCAGTCGATTAAGCGTGCTGACTCTCGATCTCAGGGTGGTGAGTTCAAGCCCTGCGTTGGGCTCCGCCCTGGGCATGAAGCCTACCTGAAAATTAAAGAATTGAAATGTATCGGCAGGGAGTCTAGGGGGAGTGTGATGGTTAAGGTTGGGTTATGGACACAACCTTGGGTTAAGGACAGGGTTCTGGAGGCTCAAACCGACTGGATTCCCACCCTGTCTACCACTGAGTGGACCCCAGCACACTGCCTTCGTGTCCTTATCTGTGCACCGGGCACGATAATAGGGCTCTCCTTGAAAGATTGTGGGGCGGGTTAATTGAGATACATTCTCAGCTCCTGGCCTAGTGCCTGCCTTATAGCCATTACTCAGAACGCTTTGACTTCTATCCGCTTCTCCGTTGTAATGTGTACCGATATATTAACACACGGCACGTATGTGAAGTGATAACAGCATATTGTAAGAAGAAGAGACTGAAGATGGATCCGTTTCTGTAGAACAAGACAAACTGTACTAGGATGTATCTACAAGGTCATTATGCCTGTAAGGTTACTCGGGAAACTAACGGCGGTGGGGCCTTTGGGAATAGGGGGGATTGTGGCGTGTAGGGAAGAGAATGGGGGATTTAGAAATCTGTACATATTTGTGTTTGGAAACCAATATGTATTCGTGACTTACTTGTGTTAATTTCAAACACAAGTTTATTTGAAAAAATTAAAGTATGCGGTTGGCACTGGGGGGGGGGCGGTTAGGGGTCGGGCTGAAGGAGCTTGTCTTCAGCTGCTGGGATGGTCCCGGTCCGGCTGCCCTCAGGGCGTCTACCCCTGACATGTTCCCCCCCCCCCCCCGCCCCCCTTTCCGCCCGCCCCTTCCTGCAGTGTCGTGAGGTGTGCGGCCTGAACGTCTCTGACCGCTGTGACTTCATCAGGACCAACCCTGACTGCCGCAGTGAAGGGGGTTACCTCAACTACCTCGAGGGCATCTTCTGTCGCCTCCCACCCAACCTGCTCCCTCTGGCCGTCACCCTCTATGTGAGGCCCTGCCCCGGGGGAGCTGGTGAGAGGGGCCGGTGGCGGCCCGGGCCGGACTTAACCCTCCCTCCCCTCTCCGGCCGCCCCTCCAGGCTGTTTGGCTGCTGTACCTGTTTCTGATTCTGGGAGTCACCGCCGCAAAGTTGTGAGTTTGGCCTTGGGCTCACGGACCTTCTTCTAGATGGGAACAGAGCCCCCGGGGGGGTTGGCATTCGGGTGACCCCGTGTTTAGGAGAAGGAGGTGGGCAGGGACCACCCGCCGGGGAGGCCCACACTGGTGCCTTTCTCTCCGCAGTTTCTGCCCGAACCTGTCAGCCATTTGCACCTTGCTCAAGCTTTCTCACAATGTGGCAGTATCCTTTTGTCCAGGGCCTGCACCCCGGAGGGAGGGAGGGAGGGCAGTCCGAGGGGTGGCTGGGAGACAGGGCGGTGTGGCTCGTGGCCCAGGAAAGGCCCGGCCGGGCCGGGGGCCCTGGTCTGTGTCCCCTTGACGCACACCCCCCCATGGCGTCACCTTCCTGGCCTTTGGGAACGGTGCACCTGATATCTTCAGCGCCCTGGTGGCTTTCTCGGATCCGCGCACCGCCGGCCTGGCCCTGGGGGCTCTGTTCGGTAAGAGTGGCCCGGCTGGGGGGGGGGGCGGCAGCGGGAGCGGGTGCAGGGCGGGCTGAGCACGCCGTCCTCTCCCCCAGGTGCGGGTGTGCTGGTGACCACCGTGGTGGCCGGTGGCATTGCCATCTTGCGCCCCTTCACGGCCGCGTCTAGGCCCTTCCTCCGGGACATCGTTTTCTACATGGTGGCCGTGTTCCTGACCTTCACCGCGCTCTACCTGGGCAGAGTCACGCTCGCATGGGCCCTGGGTGAGCAGCCGCGGGGCTGGGTGGCTCATCCATCACCCAGGGCTGGCAGGTGGCAGGCCAGTGGGGCACAGCGTCCCTCTGGGTTCCCAAGTGAGGGGAAACCCTACTCAAGCTGGCCAGAACAAAAAAAAAAAAAAAAAAAAAAAAAAGGAACATACGGTTCAGATAACCAAAGGGGGCAGGGCGGAGACTGGGGTGGTGTTGCAGACCTTCACGATGTCACATTTTAACAAGCAATAGAGCCAGGGTGCTGACGGTGGCCGTCGGGGTCCTTGCTGCGCACGCGTTCCACTTCTGACTCAGGTGACGCGGGTGGAGGCACAATTTATAAAGGGTTACGGAAACCCACGAGGGGCGCTGAGATGCAGAGACATCTGGGGATCAGCACAGTAGGAGCCCCAGAAAGGGCAGGGCATGCTAGCTGGAGCCTAGTGAGGACTGGAGGTCTAGTCCTGGTGCCACCAAGGCACAGAGGGTCCCGCCCCGCCCCGCCAGAGACAGGGCACCACGCCGGGGAGGGAGCCTGGAAGAGTACAGCAGACCCTCTCCTGCCACCTGCTGATTTGCTGGCGGGCCCCCTGCTGGCCAAACCCGGCACAGCCGGAGCTCGGGGGCTGCGGTCTTGGGGCTCCCGCTTCCCAGGGCGCAGAGCAGGACACCCGCCCTTAGCGCTCGACTCAGGTCCCGAAGGCCACTGTCTGTGTCGGGCGTCTCCTCTTTGATTTCCAGACCGTGGGGGGCAGGAAGGGGAGGTGGGCCAAGGAGAGCAGAGTGGTGGGGCGGGGGCTCCAGGAAATTGCCGTTTCCCTGCGGGCGCGGGGCTAGGTTGGCACAGACCAGCGGCACCAGGCATCAGGGGAGCTGACAGCCCTTTGCCCTGGGCCCGTGGCCAGGATGCCGCTTGGTGACGGCCCGCGCCCTTGTCCGCAGGCTACCTAGGCCTGTACGTGTTCTATGTGCTTACCGTGGTTGTCTGCACCTGGCTGTACCGATGGCAGCGGAGGAGGTCCCTGGTCTATTCCATGCCAGGCACCCCAGGTAAGGGTCTGGGTCGAGCTCCCGAGAGAGGCCGGCGGGGGCTGGCACCCTCTGTGCCCTTCGCTGCTCCCTTAGATCTCTGGAGGCCAATGTCATCGTCCAGCTCCTCTGTGTACTATTTCTACCCGTTCTCACCAAGGTCCCGCCTCCACGCTTTCGCCGGTGCCGGTGAGGCCTCTCCCCCAGCTGCCTGTCCAGGTTCCCGAGTCCCTCCTGCTCCGTGCTCTTTCCAGGGCGACATCCGAGAGCCGTCACGGCTCACATCCAGTGACGCTGCCACATACACAAATACGCGCGTAACACCCACGTACGCAAATACGTGCACAACACACGTGCATACACGCACGCGCAGCCGACCCTTGAACAACACACGGGTGCCGGTGACTCCCCCTACAGGAAGTCTGCCATGATTTTTCCTCTCCTCCCCGGTGGCAACTGAGCCTTCCGATTTCAGCACACATCACCCCTGTGCCGTCTTCCAGACCCATCATAGCCCATCAGGCTGGAGGAAGAGGGAGAAATGAAGCCCGGAGAGGGCCCTTAAGGTCACACAGAGGCAGAACTAGGGCTGGCCGTGACTCCTCACTTGAGAAAGACCATTTTGATTTTAGGCCCCTCTTTGCCGGGCTCAGGCTGTAAGCGTTCCAGAGGACTTCCAAGGAAAGTTCCAGACTGAAAGAAAAACATGGGATGGGTTCCAAATTCTGGAAGGTCCCAAACTGAAGTCAGCAAATGTTTGAATTACCTCTTCCAATGCCCTTATGTTACATTTGAAGATGTTTTTTGAGTTAGACTTTCTCACTCGGTAAGAATCCTGGGCGTGCGTAGGGATTCTGAGAAATCCGAGCTCCAGAGGGCCTGGACACTTGGGCCCTGGACACTGCCCTGTCCCGGGGCTGTCCCGCACTGGAATGGTGGTGGAGAGCGTCCGGGCTCCCTGGCCGGCTCGTGCGAAACACCCCTCTCTCCTACAGAGATGCTGTCAGACTCTGAGGTGGAACCAGTGTCTTCCAACAGCTACGACTACAGTGAGTCTGGTCTCCGTGCCCGGCGGGGGTGGGGGTAAAGAAGTGGGGAGGGGAGCGGGGTTCCTGGAAGCTGAGCCAGCCGCACACTCCCCCTTGCACACCCAGGCGAAGAGTACCGGCCGCTTCTCCTCTATCAGGAGACCACGGCTCAGATCCTGGCCCGGGCCCTCAACCCCCTGGATTACAGGAAGTGGAGGAACAAGTCTGTGTACTGGAGGGCCCTCAAGGTGCTCAAGGTAGGAGGGGGGCCCCTGGAGCCAGGCTCACGGCTCCACGACAGCGGCAGGGCAGTGGCCGCTCAACCTTCTCCAGCTAAATGACAGGGGAGGGGCTGGAGTCTGCTGAGACCCTCTCAGAATAGAGTACCTGGGACTTGATGGGGAAACTGAGTCATAGAGCTTGGCTGGGGGCCTGACCTGGGGCTCTGCCCCCACCGTGGAGGAAGGAGAGCCTCTGGGACAGAGGGAGAAGGGGAGGGGACCCCTCCTGACTGGGAAACGGGGGTCTGGGGCTGGGGTGAGGGAGTGGGTCAAGGTGAGCTCCGATGAGAATGAGATTGAGCCGTGCTGACCATTTGCTGCTTCCCCGGGGCTAATGTGTCCTGAGGTGTAGACCTGAGTGGGGTGCCCAGGCTGGTTTGCAGCTGCCTTTCACCACCCAGAGCAAAAGGGGCAGGGTCTCACCTCCCAGCCCCATCTCCTCCCGGAGAGAACCTGGAGGCCGCCAACGCGGAGACATTTTCGGCCCCTCTGTTCCAGGAGGCACGTACCACACACTTATCCGTCCTCCACGGTGGCTCCGGTGGCATCGTGACCTGGGGCCTCTCTGAGCCTCAGTTTCCTCCGCAGCAAAATGGGGACAATGATACAGTGCCCTCCTCCTGGAGTGACTGTAATTGTGAGTTGCTGCCACAGCAATGCCCTACAGGAAACAGCCCCCCAGATCTCACCGACTTACGACGACAGTCTTTTTTTCTCATTCAAGGGCCTGAGGGCTGTCTGGGGGGACTTCAGGCTGTGTTCGGAGGTGTAGGTCCACCCAGTGTCTCATTCTGGGGCCCGTGGGTGCTGGGGATGCGCTCTGGTCTCGGCAGAAGAGGCCAAGGCCAACTTTGCAAGCGCGGTTGAAGTCTCTACTCCCATCACGTTCGCCGACAGCCCGTTGTTCCGAAGCTCGTCACACGGCCAAGTTCAGTGGGGCAGGGCGACGTATCCTGCAGACTCCTATCACTTGGCAAAGCGTGTGGGTGTTGAATTCTGTCGCGGGAAGGGATTGGAGCATCGTGAACAGTATCGAGCCTATCACGGTCGCTGTGACAATTTAATAAAAAGTAATATGCGGAGGGCTGGGTCCGGTGTCTTAACAGGCATGCTCCATTTCATTGCACCTCGCTTTATTAAGCTTCACAGATACTGTATCTTTTACAAGTTGAAGGTTTGCGGCCAGGCTGTGTTTAGCAGGTCTGTGGGCACCACTTTTCCAACAGCATTTGTTTATTCTGTGGCCCCGCGTTACGTTCCGGTAATTCTTGCGATATTTCATACTTCTCATTATTATATTTGTCGTGGTGATCTGTGGTCAGTGCTTAGCAGTCGGTGCTTATGACTTGCTGAAATCTCAGATGACAGTTAGCATTTTGTAGCAACAAAGTATTTTCTTAAGTAAGAGATGTACATTTTTGTAGACACAGGGCTACCGTGCACTTACTAGGCGACGGTGTGGGGGAAACATAACCTGTATGTGCACTGGGACACCAGAACGTTCGTTTGACTCGCTTCGTTGCGACATTCGCTCTAGTGAGGTGGTTGGGAAGCAAACCCATGATGTCTCTGAGGTTCGCAAGTCGGCAGCACTCTGTCCGTGTTATTACCTAATTTAGTTACTGGCTGGAAATACAAGGTGTGGAGTCGGTCAGAGCTGGCCCCGTATCCCAACTTCCCATACCCTTCTGTGTGTCTTTGGAGAAGTTCCGTAACCTCTCTGAGCCTCAGTTTCTTCATCTGGAAGGTGGGAAAAGATTAGTTCCTATGCACGGGGTTGTCGTCAGGATCAGCGGGCGAGGTGCTGTGGTCAGCCGAAGAACGGCCCCCCGCCCCCCGCCCCATGCCTGCGTCCTGCTCCCTGGAAACATGACTATGTTACCTTCATGGAAAAAGGGATTTGCAGCTGTGATTAAGGATCTTGAGATGCAGAGATTTTCTTGGATTATCCAGGTGGGCCTGGTGTCATCACCAGGCTCTTTCTAGGGAAGGAGGGGGGCGGGGGTGGGGACGGAGTCGGAGGAGATGTGATAACGGAAGCACAGCTTGGCGTGACCCGGGTGGGGGCCGCAAGCCAAGGAATGCGGGCGGCCTTGGAAGCTGGAGAAGGCAAAGAAACGAATTCTCCCGCAGAGCCTCCAGAAAGGGGTGCGGCCCTGCCAGCCCCTTGATTTTAGGAGCCTGTTCCCCAGAACTTGCCGGCAGGCACTCCGTCCTGGCAAAGGTGTCCCAGCGGCACTTGGGAGACTAATACGGGCACTTAGCCTGGGCCTGCCCAAGCCTTCGTGCAGCCCGCTGGGACGCGGGCCTCCCTCGTGACCTCCGTCTGCCTTCGCCCACTTGACAGCTGCCCGTGGAGTTCCTGCTGCTGCTCACCGTCCCAGTTGTGGACCCCGACAAGGACGATGGCAACTGGAAACGGCCCCTCAACTGTCTGCACCTGGTGATCAGCCCGCTGGTCTTGGCCCTGACCCTGCAGTCGGGCGCCTGTGAGTATGGTCCCGGGCTGGCCCCCCTCCCCCCGCCCCCCATTCCGGGCCACGTTTCTGAAGGCAGAGTTGCCTGGATGGCAGAAGGGCGTCCCCGGTGGGGGGTGCCTGCTGTCCGAATCACGGCCGTCCCCTCTGTTGCCTGCTGGGGGACCTGGCTGGGGAATTCGAGTTTTCTCCTGTCTGCACCAGGCTGCCCTCGCCTTTTCCGACCGGCTCTGGCTAAAGAAATGCCCAGTGTTATCAGGTGTCTCCCAACTCCTGCTGTGCAGGCTTCTTTCTATTACGTGCTGCCCATCCCTCTGTCCCCTGGGCATCATGTGGAGGTGGGGGGGGGGGAACTCTGGTGACAAATGCATGGCCGGGTGTCAGCATAAGACATCTACCAAGTTCCCTGGGGGTTTCCTCTCTGATTTGGGTGCCGGGGTGGGGAGGAGCGGGGGGGCACAGAGACTGTCCAGCAGGGCAAGGTGTGATCCCAGAGCCGAGAAGGGCGCCCCCTGGGGGTGCCAGCCGTCTCGTCCCTCAGCCTTTCATTCCCTACTGAGCGGGAGGGTCTCGTCTCCGGTCAGGGCACCCCCGGGGCCTTGCTCTCATGATCTCTGTGGCTTCTTAAAAGAGTAGTTCCCAGGCATTGGTCACTCATGAGCCATCTTCTTGATTTTTCTCCCTCTGTGCACTGTTAAATCTGACATTTTTCTTGAATCAGCTGTGCTTAAACTTACATTCACTGCAAAGGAAACTGTGTCAGCCGCACCAGTAGGAAACTGGCTTCGTTGCCGATACATGCAAGGCAAAGGCACGGCAAAAATTAAGCATCTGAGCCGGGAGCCTTTGTTCCAGAGGGCGTTCAGCAGGTGTCAGAGACGTCACAGACCCATTAGCACCAAGGGAGACTTTCTCTGAAGGAGGAATCCCTCGCCTGAGGTGTGATTCTGGCACGACAGCGTCTTGTCCACGTACCGACACCATCCGGTGATAGCAGGTCCATCCTGGGGAAATTCAGGTTCAGGCTAACGCGTTTGTGACCCCCCTGCTGGGCTGAGCACCACATAGCGGGGCCCCCCGGACTCGGCTCCCTGCCGGAGGGGGTGTTGTGTCTGTCGCCAGAGCCTCCCAGCCTCCCTCTCTAGACCACCCCCAGAGCCCTCTTCCTGAAGGGCCACTTTTCATATGTGGTGGTCACTTCTCCACTCCAAGACCTCCATGGCTCCCCAGTGCCTCTTGGTACAAGTCCACACCCCCGCCGGCCATCATTCAAGCCCGCCGCCTTCCCCAGCCTCTTCTGCTCGTGCGATACCAACCACCTGCTTGGTTCCTCCCCGGTCCAGCTCTCCCCTCTCCTCCTGTGGCCCTTGTGCCCTCTCTCTGCTTATGACTCATATCCTCGACGCCTGAAGAAGCCCTTCCTCACCACCCCACATCCAGCCACCTCCTAAAATTCCCCTAGAACAGGCTTAGCCAATACAGAGGAAAGGGCCCCTGACCCAGGCGTCAGGTTCCAAAGCCCAGACCACGTTCTGTCAGAATCGCCTCCTGAGATTCTGGCACAGTGTGCTGGGGACACGGTTCTGTGTATCAGCTCCCTCGTGTAATTCTGTCGCCAGCTGACGCTGGAGAGCCCGTGAGCTAGACTGAAAAAGAACAGGAGGAGAGTCTGGGTCGCCAAACCCTCCACTGGCTTCGAGTGGTGAAAAGGGTCACGTGCGGAGAATTCCAGAGTGTGCTGCCTGCCCGTAGGTGGGGCTTTCTCCTTTTCGTGTTTTGCTACGAAGCCCCCGGAGCTCACATAACTCTCACTGGGCTCCTTTGGGGAGCGGGTTTGTCGAGAGAGCAGACGTGGGGCCCCAGGGTCAGTGGGTAAGCGGCGGGTTTGACCGCACGGCTCATTTAGTGGAGCGGTGCTGCCCTGAAGCTTAGTCTGAAGAAGCATCAGCATCATGGTTGACTAGTGATGTCTGCCACGGCGTGGGAGAGGACGGTGGTGGGGAGCGGGCTGAGCCACTCCCGTCCTAGTCTCACGGGAGAGGGCTGGGGAGAGTCTGTCTTTCACGGGCCTGCTGCCTTTCCAGTATGACTAGCTTGAGGCAGGGGCTCTGCCTTTAATTTCTCTGTCCCCTTGCGGTGCCCGGGACAGCACTGGGCACGTTGCGTGTCCAACGACGGAGTGCAAGTGAGTTTTATCCCTGGGTCTCTCCGCCAGCCCTCTCGCTCACTCTGGGGAAGACGTGTGCCCTCCAGGAGGCGCGGCCACGCGGAAGCAGTGGTCCAAATCCCTTTGTTGCCTCTCTGCAGACGGCATCTACGAGATCGGTGGCCTCTTTCCTGTCTGGGCCGTGGTGGTGATTGTGGGCACAGCCCTGGCTGCGGTGACCTTTTTTGCCACATCCAACAGTGAGCCTCCCAGGTTTCACTGGGTAAGAATCTCCGGTGCTCCGGGGTGGGATGAGGGGACACTGGAATCTTCCAGAAAGATGTGTGTTCGTGCTCCCGGGGCAGTTAGGCCAGTAATCACTTTCCGTGATGACAGGTCTTTAAAGCCACTTTTGAGACTGTTGGGTTTGTTGTTTTTCTTTTTTAAGTTTATTTTGAGAGAGAGAGTGCACGAGTGGGGGGGGGGGCTCAGAGAGAAGAGGGGGAGAGAGAGAGAATCCCAGCGAGGCTTGAACTCCCCAACAGTGAGCCGAAATCAAGAGTCAGACCCCTAAGTGAGCCGCCCAGGTGCCCCACACTTTGGACAGTTTCGTACCTGTTCAAGGTTCTTTTTTTCTTTCTCTTTTTTGGAGCAGCTTTATTTGATTGAGATGTAATTCACATATCCTGATGCAACTCACCCCTGTAAAATATGGGATTCGGTGGTTATTATTATATTCACGGAGCTGTGCAGCCATCACCGTTATCAGTTGGGGAGCGTTTCAACACCAAAAAAGACACCCCGCGCCTGTCACCCGACCCCTGGCCACTGCCAGTCTGCTTCTGGTGCCTGTGGATTCGCCTGCTCTGGACTTTTTGTAGACACATACGCACACAATATGTGGTCTTTTGTGACTCTTGCGTCGTGTTTTCAAGGTCGTTCCGGGCATGAGCAGGGATTAGCGAATCTCTCCTTTTCGTGGCTCAATGCCATCCATCGTATGGCGATGCGGCACATTTAGCTTATCCGTGCATCATTCACGGACGTTCTTTCTACTTTGGGGATGTTACGAGTAACACCGCTGTGAACTTTCGCGTAAAAACGCGTGGCTGGGAGGTTTTGTTTCTCGTGGGTGTATTCCTAGGCGAAACGGTGGGGTCACTTTTCGAGGGATTGCCAGACTCTTTCCTGCTGCAGGAAACCCCTGTGTCTCCAACAGCCAGGTCCCAGGGATAGAATTTTCCGGTGTTCGTGGGTGGGTTTTTTTCCCATTCTCTCCACCCTGCAACACCCTGAGGAATTTTTAGGCAGTATGTCCAGAGTTTACTCTTAAGAGTTCACTTAAAATGTTCTCTCTTTTTTTTTTTTTTTTTTTTTTTTTTTTTTTTTTACTATTTATCGATTTTTAAAAACTGCGGATTTTAAGGCATTGGCACACGCTCCGGCAGGGAGCGTACCTTGAAAGACGTGATGCGGAGTGAATGAGACCAGTGACAAAGGACCACGTTTGCGTGCAGCCGTGTATATGGCGTGTCTAGAGCAGGCAGGGAGCAGAGTAGCAGCTGCTGGGCACCGGAGGGAGGTGGGGTGCGCTGGGGAGTCCCCGCTAACGGGGATGGAGTTTCGTCTATGGGCCTCTGGCCCAAGAGAGCTATGACAAAAGAGTAACACTGAGCTAGCATTTTACTGAGCACTTACTGTGTGCCAAGCACTCACTGCTTTGAATCCGTTAACTCATTTATGCTCGTGACAATCTCGGGGGGTAGGTACTGTGATCATCCCATTTTACTGATGGGGGAACTGAGGCCGTATCCCTGCTGGGGACCGGCCTTGGGCCATCAGCGCACCGTTCCCTCCCCAGCTCTTTGCTTTCCTGGGCTTCCTGACCAGCGCCCTGTGGATCAACGCAGCCGCCACAGAGGTGGTGAACATCTTGCGGTCCCTGGGCGTCGTGTTCCGGCTGAGCAACACCGTCCTGGGGCTCACGCTGCTGGCCTGGGGGAACAGCATCGGAGGTGACGCAGGGCCGGGTGGACTTCTGGGATGAGTGCCCGCATTTCACTGTCCTTTGCTCCCCTGGCCAGAGTGCCTGTGGGCATGTGCTCGGGCCCACTGTTGCTCTGGAGTGACCATAACTGGTCATAGGGGTGAGATGGCCTGGACCGTATCTGAGCCAGGAGACTGTAGAAGCCCTCGCCTCTTCCCCCTTGTCCGATGTGTAGACATGGGGCTCCCCGTTACAGCCAACCACGCTGAACGTGTATGTGGGGTATGCCACCTACACGGGCATTCACACATGCACCTATATACCCTTCTCTAACTGCTGCCGCCGGGTAGGGTTGGCCAGGTTGTGCACTGCACAAGAGCATTCAGACAAGGAGTCAGGGGGGCTAAAATCCACTTCTCCTTCCATTCACCTTTTGGGGTACCTTTTTCTAATTTGCATAAAGGTGCTATGTGTGCTGGCCGTAATGGCATGTCACATCCCGGGTAGGAGGGAATGGGATAGACAGAATGAAGGAGGGAATCATGTCGTGGGAGGCCGTGGCCGAGGGCTCAGCCAGCTACCGCAAGGCCCAGATGGGCATTCGTGGGTGTTTGTTGACCGAACGACTGTGGTTAAGAATTAGGGAGCGAATGACCAGAGGGCCAGGGGGAGCCACTCCCCGCCCCTCAAGGGGGTCTCTCGTTTCCATGCAGACGCCTTCTCAGATTTCACCCTGGCCCGCCAGGGCTACCCTCGGATGGCCTTCGCAGCCTGTTTCGGCGGCATCATCTTGAGTATCCTTCATGGGGCCGCCCTCCCCTCGGCTCTGGTGGCCCAGCCTCCGAGGGCCATGGGCGTGCTCGGCGCCCCACCCCTGCGATTGGCCCTTGCTGTACCCCCTGGGCAGGTGATGTAGCTGCCTGAGCCTTAGTTTCCTCATCTGTAAAATGGGCGTGCTGAGAGGACTGACCTCAGAAGGGCTGTTGTAAGGATTGAATGAGGTGACAGAAATGCTTGGTGCCTGGTGAGCCCCCAGTGGACGGCAGATACTCTTTCGTAGACGCCCCCATGCCGAGCTTATGCGGGCCCTTTGGAAGACCCTCTTCCTCCTTCTTATGGACATCGTGGTCTGTAGATGTTAGGGGGTGGCCAGCTTTTTCTTAAAGGGCCGGAGAGTAAATAGTTTAGACTTTGTGGGCCCTGCCAACCTCTTTTGCCACCACCTGACTCTGCTGTGGTCGTGTGGAAACAGCCATCGGCAATATGGAAATGAATGGGTGTGGCTCTGTCCCAATAAAACTTTATTTGTAACAGCGGCCTGCGGGCCGCTTGGCCTGGGGGCTGTAACTCGCCACGCCCTGGTCTGTGCAGGAAAGACAAGGAC